TGTTAAGATCCATATATTGTGTTAGATTATTTTTACTGGGCATTGGCTCACCTTATTTGGGAAAAACCATTTTTAGGTATTCGTGATATATCTCTGCCAAGGCAGTAGCTTCGGAAAATCTGGAGCAAGAGCTTCTATTTTTGTTATATCTATTTTGTATAGCCAAGGGCTTTAAATTGTGTTGAGTTAAGCTCATTTTTGTTGTAACCAAGCAGCGACTCGGAAAGATGTAAGCCATTAGGGCAAATGAATATCTGTGTAACTTTCATTTCTTCTTGTATCTGTCTCTCCTGTATATTAGACTCTGATGAATAAAAGCATGTTAATTCAATTATATTTCTGCTTATGAGATGGTCTTGTGTATTTATTTTGGAGGCGTTACACAATTTGTGAAAAATCCTAAATGTTAATGTTTTGGCAGTTGTTGGATTATTGAGAAAAGATTTTGTTTGGTTTCAAAATTGAGAATGTGATTTGGAAAACACTCATAAAACTTTTGGAATATCGAGTATTAGTTACTCCTTTGATATGTTGAGTTTAATGGAAAGTTATATAAGTCTTGAAAGTTTGTTTTTAAAATGTGGAATGTGGATTGTTTATTTAGGAATTACGGAAGATTCCAAGTTATGGTTATATGTTAGATTGTATATCCATGTTGTTATCTTTTAATAAGTACATTAGAGATAACTATTTTGGCTATCGGTGGAAATTTACCATGTTTGCATTTAATGAGGGATTTCTTGAACGGATGAGAAATGTTGGAACTTTGGAAGTTTGATATATAGTATGTTATGGATTTATCTCGAAATAACTAAATTGGAAATGTTGATTAACATGTGGAGACTGTATGAATGTGGATATTGTTGTATTATCTCTTGGGATTGTATTATGATATTATATTGATAGAGATATGGAATTTGATCACAATAAAGCATTGTGTGGTGGAATTGAAATTGGAACTATTCTAATGCATTGTTACATATTGCATTGCCATTCCATTTCATTGTTATCATGGATCTCGAATTGCACTTGAAAACTATTTTTTTGAGAAAGGAATTGTTTTTGTGAAACAAGATCATTTTGATTTGTTTTGGGTAAATACGTTGGTAAGTTCGGATAGGGGGTGTAGTTTGATATTGGTTAAGTTGGTCTGAGTGTCCATAGTGAAAAACCAAAAACACCCACGCAGAAGGTACCACGTGCCTTCCGGTGAGAGACCGATAAAGTGGGGATTTGGTAGTGCTCGATATGCCTACTTGCAGACACCAGTCTAGAGATTATCTGAGTCGTATTTACCACCTTGAAGATATATTGAAATTGTTGGATTAATGTGTTTTCAAATTTGTATTGTGCACAAGATTTTCAAAAGATGAGAAAAATATTTTGAGCATGACATGGCATATGCATTCATCTCATAAGACTGTATAAAACGTATTTTATGCTTTATTAGATGTCATTATGAATTGTTTAACTATTTGATCCAATTGGTGATGGGGTAATTGAATAGATTGAAAAGGATGTCTTGTTGCTAATGAAGCATGTTTATTTATTTTAAGTTAACTAGTTATGGTTAATTAAATAAATTGGATCTAAGAGATTATGTAATAGAATCATATGATTTTGATATGCTATGATTTCACGTATATGTATTAGTATCTTTGTACCCACATATCTTCTAATGTTATAATATGAGATTGTTTGGTGAGCTAGTGGTTGCTCACCTCCTACCTCACTACAAGAATTAACACTTTTGGCAACAAAAAAATTGGTCGCTAAAAGTCAATTTTTGGTCGGCAAAAGTTATCTGCGACCAATTTTTTTGGTCGCTACTTTGGTCGCCAATTGAGGGTCGGCAAAAGTTGGATTTGCCGACTAAATTTTTGGTCGCTAAATATTTAATTACCGCGACTAATTTAGTTTGTCGCTAAAACACTTTGGTCACGAAAAGTGATATTTTCCTGACCAAATTTCTTAGTCGCCAATTGTCACATTTCGCGACCAAAAAGTTTGGTCGCCAATTATTACATTTCGCGACCAAAATTTTTGGTCGCCAATTATCACATTTCGCGACCAAAAAAATTGGTCGCCATTTGTTACTTTTCGCGACCAAAACTTTTGGTCGGCAAAAGTGAGTTTCCACGACCAAGAGCTATTTTGGTCGGCAATAGATGTATTTTTTGCGACCAAAACTCTTAGTCGGCAATTGTCATTTTTTGCGAAAAAAAATTATTTATTTGTCGCGACTAATAAATTAGTCGCCAAAGCAGAAAAACGATATACCTGTAATTCCTAATAATTCATTCAATCCATAATAAACCTATAATTTTAAAGCATCATTCAAATTAACCGAATCATTAACATTCGACACAATACATAATTCATTAACATTCGACACAATACAACTATTCTAAATTTTCATTCACAAGTCACATCCATCTAGCATAACAAATTGAAACATAACTATTTGTTATCCATGCGCAGCTATCAACAAATAAAACTACTAATATTTGTTATCCATACACATCCATCCCAAAATATTTAATCCTCCCAAAAATGGTATATTGCCAAGTAGTCTTGTAAAATTTAGCTTTGTGAACTTGTTAAGAAATATGTTGGGGAGGGTGCTCGTCTGGTTCGTGAATTTTTGATCCACTTTTCCCAACTTTTGATCCACTTTTCAATGATGGCCCCATCGATATTCAATGCTTTCTATGTAAGATATACACTCCCCCTACTCCAACCAATCAAAAAGAAATTAATGAGAGAATCTAAACAGCATATTCTTTAGAGCTATTAACTCATGAATCATGATAACAAATGCAAAGAAGTAAAGAAAAAAGTTGCATAGGTCAATACTACCATGCTATTCAACAATGAAGCAGTAGTTACAAAAATACAAGCTTTATATGAATAAAATCTATAAATAATCATATACTACGATAGTCGAGTTTAATCTGTTATTGGATACAATTTTTCACACCATCATGCACAGAATAGAACTATAGTTCGTCTTGCAATTCAACAATAAGCAATGAACCAATGACTGATGCACAGTAAGCAAAGATAGATCAACATCAACAGATAATTAAAGATAAAGAATGAACAAAAAAAAATCATACCAAATTAATATATATATATATATATATATAAACACATGAAAATAAAAATAATTTCATCATCTTTTATGTTGGAAGTAAGTATATTCTTTATTATACCAAATTAATAAGAAATCATTTTTCACATTCTACATATGGAAAAGAAGTAATGAACAAAAAGTAGTATATATTTTGGAAAACTCTATTAAAACACAAATTGAAATAGAACACCTAAAATTAAAAAGTCTAAAGGTTAAGAAAATAATAGCTATAAATCCATTGCTTTTATCTTATCATTAGATACCAAGTTATTTTTTTCAAACTAACAATGTATTTCATGTGTCTAAACAATGGACACATTTATGGAAAGTCCCCAACACATCATTTCATACATTAATAATCTTGCCAGCAACCCTTAGCAACGAAAAAATAAAAATCAAAGAGCATAATAAAGCACATGCATTTCAAACAGAAGCATGTGTTCACAAAAATACCTAGTATGATCACAATTGTCCAAATCTGAGCCTATAAAACCAACAAATGACTAATTTGTTCCCTGTTTGCATTCTACTTCTCTCAATGTATGGATGTTAGCATCTCCACACGCAAGACGGATTGCACATGAAGGAAGGTGTGGAAAGTTTGACATACATTGTTGGGCCAATTTCCTAACATCTTAAGCTTTTGGAAAAATTGGTGATCTGACATAGCAATATTGTTATAATGACCACATTTTTAAACACCTTATATGGTATCATTGCGTTGGTTTAAAGGGCCGCACCAGTCATGTCTGATACCAACGCAACAATGACACATGAGATGGTAAACACTTTAAGGTACACAAATGTGGTCATTGTGGCATTATTGCTAGGAGAGTCTTGAATTTCTAAAACTCATGCAAACACAGCCTGAAGTTTCTAAAGCTCAATCCACTGAATTAAAAAACTACAAAGATTTCTATATAAGCTGGGTTTTACCTAACATTATAAGACCCATGTACATTTGTGTTCAGCAAATCTTGAGATCACCAAAATATCATTACTCATAAAACCAAATCAAATTGTACCAGCGACATACTAAATGGAAAAATACATAATAAACATTCAACCTAAAATTTTGACTAGACAAGGTCTAAAGTATTCTCCAGTCTTTTCTTGTTATCATAGTCCACATCAGTCAATGAAGTGACATTTTCCATCTTGCCTTAATGTAGTTTTGTGGACAGACATTTAGTTGGAAAAATCAAAAAAGTTTTTCTTTATGATGTCAAAAATTATTCTCTCAAGCAGATTATTACATCAGCTTGTAATATTTTAGAGAAATTTTCTAGTTAATTGGCAGTGCCCAGAGCCATGTTGCCTCCAAAATGACATCAATCCTCAAGGACAATAAATATATTTGCAAGCAGTCAAATCTCAGACATCATACAGCTTGCGTCCCAAAGATGTAGAGGTATATGAGCCATAAGCTAGATGAGAAACTACAAGCTACACAAGAAATGAGGCTACAGATGATGTTGTCATAGATCTCCACAAAAGCATAAAGATCCCTCAATCAAATCATAATAATCAAATTGTTGAAACAAAATCTCAGATAAACAATTTTTTCTAAAACTCATGCTAAATATATTCTTGGACCAGCCAATGTGTGGCACGTAGTTTGTCAGATGGCTTTTATTAATGCTCAGCCCCAAGCTTGGTTTCACATAAAAAATCCTCCTATTAATTATATAAATTTAGGAGGAATAAGTTGCCCTTTCTCCTTTTACTGTCTAGTGCACACATCCTTTTTGGGTGAGGAAACAAGCACCAAACGTAAAACTAGTACAGCAACTTACATGCATTGTATGAGTCTTCCCACTGCTAGTCACATCATACGCAAATACAGTACCTGCAAAATACATTGTTGACTGTAGAATGAATACATTGTTGACATTGTGGCAAATGTTACTATGGTTTAGTGATTTTCCATTATCAGTTGAACTAGCATGAGGCGTCATCATAAATTTAAAGATCCCCCAAGATGATCTAGAATTAATATCAAGCATAATTCCAGCAGAAATGGATGAAGTTATACAAGAAAGCACTAATGGATAGCTCTTTTCAACCAAAAAAACAAGAAGCAAGGAGAAAAAAGGTTTTCAGAAAATGACCACAAAGACAGAGGATACTATTAAGAGATTATCATGGTAAGGAAATATAACATAAGGGATTGGGGAATGATGAGAATGTGTTTATAAGAAAGGGAATAGAGATGAACTGCAAATTAACTTCTTAATTTAGAGCCAATTCCCTTGCAAGCAGGTGTCTTTTAACATGTTACAGCCTATTTCCTTCAAGAACATACTTATTTTTCCAAACTCTTATGCTTAGTAAATGTTCCACGTTATAGTTTATTATGAAGAGGACAGAACTCTAGCAACAATAGTATTTGATTGATATGGAAGTCTGGTTAAAGAGGAGAAAACATTGCACCAAAAGGATGTATAAAAGGGGCGAAATGGATATTCATGTCATGTCAAAGAAGTCACAATAGAATAATGTTTGCAGTAACAAAAAAGAGTTGCAGACATCTCCTCACTTGTTTCTCTCATTCAAAACCGTGCATGAGACTTTCATCTCACACTGCTCCTAAGTGATAAAACAAAGAACTCGTCTTCTTTCTTTTTTGATTACCTTCCTCATGAATGTATAATAAGACCAAAGTCATTCAATTTCTAAAAAAGATTACCAATCCTTAAATACTGGTGTGTAAATACTGGTGTGTGTGTCACATAAAAAAGAAACAAACCTGGATAACACAGAGAATATCAGGGAGGTGATTTTTGGACTCATCAACAGGACCTGCATAGAGTTCAATAAATACATCAGGCATTAAGGGAGGGAGATAGACAAACATTAATGGATAGCAAACATAACAAGTAATATACCAAGTAACACAAATAAGTGATGCGCTGGAGCATCCGCCATTAATTGTAGATCATTTGGAGAATTTTTGTAGTGCGAAGCAACATAGAAGGGGGAAATTTGTTATACTATGTTGCAAAACCTCGAAAAGATTTTCTTCCACCAAAAAGCGACCTTTAAAAAAATTCAGCATACTATGGGTACTATACTGTAGCTTCGCCAGGTATCAATGGCACCAAAAACTTGGCAGAGCTAATAAGCAGATATTGCAGCAATCATACAATGAGGTATGGGGTCCTGGGGACTCATTTGATAACGAGACAGATCAAACTAGATGTGTCACATGATAATCAAAGGGAGAAAATTAGAAGTAACTATATCACACAACCTAAATCAGTGACATTAATTGAAATTCTAAAAGAAGCAGTATGAGATCCCAAGTCGAAGGAAAGATAATGAGTTCCTTGACTAAGTCAAAATCCCAAGGGATATGTCATTACACAACTTTTCTGACAACAAATATATGTTTTTGAATTCAAATGCATAGAGAAGCATTACCTCAATTCCACCAACAAATATAAAGAAACATACACACATACACACATAAAGATGAGTAGATACACACATACACATATAAAGATGAAGAACTACCAGGTCTTTGTTGTTCGAGATGATTTTTTCTTTTCATTTTTGTTCATTCATTAATGAGTAGATATTGGTTTTTAAAAACATTACCTTACAACAGCGAAGTCGCATCCTGATTTTCAGAAACTGATGCAGTACCCTGAAATTCAGATTGAATTAAAGAAAATGCAATGTAAACATTGAAATTATCACACAACCTAAATCAGTGAAATTAATTGAAATTCTAAAAAAAGCAGTATGAGATCCCAAGTCCAAGGAAAGATAATGAGTTCCTTAACTAAGTCAAAATCCCAGAGGATATGTAATTACACAACTTTTCTGACAACAAATACATGTTTTTGAATTCAAATGCATAGAAAAGCATTACCTCAATTCCACTTTGTAATCGATTTACTTGACTGATTATTGACAATAATCAGTCTTTACCATTACCTCAATTCCACCAAAAAATATCGATTTTCTTAAAGCATAGAGAAGCATAAAGAGAAAGAGAGAGAGAGAGGGAGAGAGAGAGGTACCGGAGAGCTCCCATGGGGGTTCGAAGCAGAGAGAGAAAGAGAAGACAGCGGCGTCAATGTAGAATTTGAGGAAGCAGATGATGATGAAGGTGGCTGTGATGGTGGAAACCCTAGCCTTCGGTGACCCAATCAAAGCACAATGTCGCGATTCACAATCGGAAACCCTACCTTGCGAGTGGGAGGATTGCGACTTGAAGACACTGAGAGAGAATGGGGGAGAGGCAGAAATCGAGGCTAGCATCGGGAGCGAGCGCAAGAGGGAGGGTAGAAAAGAAGAACAGAGAGGGAGAGAAAGACAGAGAGGGAATGGGAGGAGACGAGTTAAACTAAATTACCCCAATCTGGGTTCGATTGATGCATCAACAGTGTGTGAAGTAAAAAATTACCCCAATCTGGAATTTTTTTTTCTGAAATTCAATTCCCGCCCCACGTTTCAAATTTCCCCCCAAACTTTTGGCGACTAAACTCTCAAATTAGTAGCAAAAATAGGTTCTTTCGCCGACAAATTTTTTTAGTCGCCAAATCTCAATCAACGGCGACTAATATATTAGTCGCTAAAAGTACTAATTTGGAGACTAATTTTTTTTGGTTGCTGAAAATAAGTTTTTCGCGACCAAATTTTTGGTCGCCAAAAAATATGTGACCTTCCGCGACCAAATTTGTAGTTGGTCGGCAAAAGTATACCACTTTCTGCGACCAACATATTTTTTGGTCGCCAAAATATAACCTTCTGCGACCAATAAAATTTGGTCACCAAAATTAATGATCATTCGCGACTAATTAATATTTGGTCGCCAAACGTCATTTTTTTGAGACCAAAATTTTTTTAGTCGGTAAAAGTGGTCGCAAAATGTGTTAATTCTTGTAGTGCCTGTATATGTGTACAGGGAATGTTTTCAAATCTGAGGATCAATCAACTTGGCATGGTTGTAAAGTGGTGATGAGCCGTAGTGCTTTTTAATTGTTTCTTTGGCTGAGTTCTATGCTTTGTAAAAGGGCGATGCTCTTTTATTTATTGTAAGTCTCTAGGCATTTCTTTTATTTATATGTAAATGACATTGTAGTATAACGGGAAAGAACATATATATTTAATTATTCATCATTTCATCAAATGATGAATTGTCTTTTGTAAATGGACTTAATTAATGAATTTGGTAATGTTATCTGAGTAATAAAATGCGGGGACGTGACAATGTTAATTTTAATTTAATTCTTAATTATTATATATTATTATTTAATTATATCTTAAATCAATCCTTAATTATATTATATTTTATTTTATTTTTATTGACATATTAATCTAATTTTAAGTTTGGAGAGAATTAATTGGAGTAAAATTATGATGTGTGTGATACAACTTTTGTTAGTTTAGATAGAAAAACAAACTATAGCACTGGTCTAAAATCACATGAGATTTTTTTGACTATATGTAATCTATAAAACATAAAGTACTTTAACTCCAAACCACAAAAAAATAAAATAAAATAAACCCAAAAATATATGACCAACTATATTTATTTTTTTTCAAATCTCGACAAAAGGAGATGAGTGTAATATACCGTTACTAAAATATCTATTTTCTACCAATTGGTCATAGAAAAAACCAAACTCATGATGGTTGATACGATCAATCCACTTCGTGACCCATCTAACTAAAATGTTATTCAGGTGTTTAGAATTTGAATGCATGTATCATGCAAATTTAAAATTAAGAGTAGAGTTTTTATTTGAATTTAAGAAAACTTCGGAGGTTAATCGGCCCATCACGAGTTTAATTTTAATAATTTGAATAATTTATTTTATAAAATTTTCACATTGTTAATTCATCTAATAATTGTAATATGACTCATTTTTTCCAAGGCTTGATGCTCACTTAATATTGTATCCTTCAAACCTTGGTTTATTAATTTTTCTAATCAGTATTGATATATAAATAGAAAAGGATACTTAGGTTAAAGGTTCAATTTTAAATTTTTAACGAATAATAGTTCCAAGATCTATTCTTTTGAGACCATAAGAACAAAAATAACTTGAAAGATCGTGTTATCTCTACTTATATGTCAATCTGTTCATATATCTATCCGCATGTCCATTTATTTGTCCACATGTTATCTATCTGTCTACTAATATATGCATGTGTCACTTATCTGTTCACTATTACCGTTATCAACTTTTTCAGCTATGGTGGTTGGCAATAACGTTTAAGAATAGAGAGATAAACAACAAATATGGATTGATGTTGAGGGACCTTAGACATCATGAAAATATTTGATGTCCTTTATACTATAAAATCATAATATCAGGGACCTTAAAAAAAATACCCCTAGATTTAATACCAATTTTTTCGGTAAAAAAATATAAAATTTTGTAATTACATTAAGATTTATCATTTTAAAATAGTGCTCATTTGAATAATATTTAATTACAAAAATATTTCTAACATATTATTTTAATTTAAAATTTAATTATCATTTTTAAAATTATTATAAACGTTTTCAGGTTTGATCTTAATATATACATAGTTTCTCCTTTGTGCATCATTTGAGGATTTTTTTTCTTTGTTTTTGAACTATGATTTTTCTTATTTTGGTGTAAGCTTTGTGCTGATTTGATCTCCTTGTAAGTGCCATATGACTTCCTTACTTTAATGAAAATTTAATCTGGCTAAAAAAAAAAAAAAAAACTTAGTCAATATATTCTAGGCCATGTCTTACTGATTTTTTGCATAAATGGTATTCATCGTGAGATTTACAAGATAAATAATTTAGATTATTACTGTGGGCCTAAAATGAAACTCAAAATAATAAAATATGCAAATATATGAAACATAAGAGTATGGAGGAAAGTCATATCCTTAAAATGGACTAATCCTCTCAATTCTATAATTGAAATCCCTCATTATTACTTTAAAATGGAGAGGATCACAATCCGGTTAAAATAGTTAAAAACTCACTACAAAAAAAAAAAAAAAACCCTATTCTCTTTATTTTTTTTGCATGTCATTTAGTAGAAAATTAAAATATCAACAAAACGCAAACATAAAATGGACATATATATATATATATATATATGTATGTGTGTGTGTATGTATTCAAACTACATAGAGTTTAGACAAAAAATAATGAAGTTGTTATTTAGTATTTACCAATTCATCTAAAAGATTAGACATTTAGAGAGAGGAATAACTTTATTATTTATATCATATCCTCAACAAGATATGGGATAAACTGTGAGGTTCAAATAGAAAATCTATTTCCTATTCTGTCTCGTTTGAGAGTAGACTAATTTAGTAATTTTTTGATTAAAATATGAGGTAAAAAAATTTGTACGTTTGGAATGATTTTTTAATTTTTTACGAAAAGATATGTAAAAAATAAATAGAAAAGAGAATCTTTGACTTTTTAAAATAAGTTATAGACTTTTTAATTTTTTAATAACTTTTTAACTTTTAAACTAAAACTATTACTTCCCAAATAAAGCCTTATCATATTTAGAATGTTCATCACCAACTCATCAAATAGTATACAAATTAGTAGAGACAGAGGTAACTTTATTATTTATATTATATAGTCAAACAAAAGCTAAATACCACACAACTATTCCCGTTCTTTCACATAATTGGATAAGAAGCTTGCATGGCAATGCCACATCGACCTTCCGCAACAACATCTCTTTCGATCCTCATATATCCATTCTCACCCCATGTAGAGCCCCATGAATTTTTAACCAACCAATAGTTAATCCCATCAGTAGTAGCTCCATATCCAATTATAGTGACAGCATGGTCAAGTTGGGTTCCACACGGCCCAGCGAAGACACCACTTCTGTAATTCTGGAAGCTCGATCCAGTACCTTCAATGCCAACAGAAACCGGTTGGTTCGCCACAGCTTGCAGAAGAGCCTGCTCATTATTACGTGGCACATCTCCGTACCCAGTTATCTGGACTACAGAGTTTGCTGCTTTGGTGCTGTCACAAGTGTTAACTTGTGCAATGTAAGGGTAATTATCTTCTGATGTGAGACCATTGTTTTGTTGGATGAATTGAAAGGCTATATCCATAAAGCCGCCTCTACAACCATGGTTATCAACATTACAATCAACAAGCTCTTGCTCAGATAGTGATATTAGGTTACCGGTTGTAATTTGGTTAATACCTTCCACGGCTGCCACTGCTGAAAATGCCCAACAACATGCTATACATACGATAACCACCCAAAAAAAAAATAAATAAATAAATATAATAATTAGAAAAGGAGGTACAGTCAAGTGGGTTGTGATTATTTTACAAAAAGGCATGACAATAATATGCTTGGGTTACTATTAATTATTGATATAATGGTTTTAATTACCGTTTATTATTTATCGATTTTTCGTCCTTTCAATAACGATACACTATGATATATCATAGGAATGAAAATCGTATGGATATCAACTAGTTCATGGTATGTATTGATTTAGAGCAAATTCATGACTCGATTATAGCCGACATAGGTGCTTCGATCGCTACAAAGCTCTCTTCATTTTTTTTTTGGTAGCTAATGATTTTAAAATATTCACGACTACATGTCTCAATTCTTTATGTATACCAGCCAATACTTTTGATACCGATAATCGATATATACCACTATTTTAAATTATTGATTGATATAAATATAGGCATAGAAATATATCATGTACTGCTTACCACAGGTGCCTTGGTTCTTGACAGGAGTAACTGCACCTTGGTTTCGCCAGTCAACGGTTGTTGGCACATTAGTTAGATTTGCATACCTAAAAGATGTTGGCTTTGAGACAAATGTTTCTTTGGTTGGCTGCCTCTTGTAACCAGTATGAGAAGCACGAAACTCCTCATTGGTCAGGTCTGAAAATTGATTCAGACCAAGCTTGTAGCCTCGGTCTACACCTTCATTAAAGGCATTTATATATTGGACATTGTCCTTGAATACCTGAAACCGTGCATTCTTCTCTTCGGTATCCTTGTAAACACGTCCATGGCGTGTCATCCATTTCTCGTGCATTTCTAGCATGGTTTGTTCGTTGAGAATTCGAGAGGAAGCTTGAGAGGACAAAACTCCCAAGACAAAGACAAAGGCCAAGAAAATGCTTTGGAAATGGTTAGTAGAAGCCATGGTGTGAGTGAATGTATTTGTGGGCACGCTTGCTAAAATTTTGCAAGGGCTTAGGTTTTTATAGGCAAAGATTGCCATGAGATTAAATTCCATACGGCTTACTAGTAAACTCTCTAGTTTACGGGCAACCAGTGAGTAATGAACACGTTTACATTTTCCAGTATACGTTGTCTTTTATCCTACTGCATTAGTCTTCCCTCACACTCACTCTTCACGTTGATTGCTTTTTTGTTTATGAAGAAGTTTGACGAAGTAAACAAAGGCTCAAAATTTCTTTTTAACCATTAATAAAATCCTAACTTAATTATCTGAAATAATAAAATTAATATGCATATAAAAAATAAAGTCGATTGGATATCAATAGCTTCTTCATCGAAACACATTTGTATGCATACAAAATAAATATGTAAGTATTAAATTGAATACAAATGCTGTTGATGAAGGGACTATTGATGTCAGATCAACTTGATTTTTAACTGGT